AACTCATGATGTAAGATGTAAGCATTTCGGGGTTCGGACTTGGGGTCTTGGGGAGGGGTTTGGGGTTGAAGACTGTCCTTGTGCAGCCTGATACAACCCAGCCCAAACCCTATATATGCAAAATACTTAGACCCGTTATAAACCCAAAAGTCATCAGTGCCAAGCCCAAAATAGTCCGATGATCGAGCCCTCAACAGGTTGACCCTTCCAGAGCTTCGTCTCGAGGTGGCAGGGGATGCTCGGGGTTAGTGGCTGTAGGGGTTTTGGAGTTTCGGGTTTAGTTAGGGCAAAGGGGCCGAGGGGTTTGCCATGGGTTTCGAGTATGAGTACGGTTTGGGGTTTATAGGCTGAGGGATAGGCGTTCATTTAAGCGTTTTAGTATCAGGGCTTCGGCACAGTCTTAAGGTTGGGAGCTTGGAGATTCAGAGTTGTTGGTCTGGTCCGGCGTTTCGCTAGTTACGTAGCTGCAGACATGTTGGTTGTGGTACGGGGGTCTGTCTAGATTCCGGTTAATTTTGCGGTATGCATCTAGGCTTGATTGTTTGGGGTGTTGTTTCACATGCAGACTAGTCTTTTTTTGCAGCATCTTTTCAGGGGATATTTCGGGTGTTTACGGCGGAGGTGTTCTCAGTAAATAAGAGGATGCGTCCGCGATGTGATTGCTTGGGAGCAGCTGGGGAGAGCTTGCGGAGTGGGTTGGGAGTTATGTAGTTGGGAGCAGCTGGGGAGTGGGTTGGGAGCACTAAAGAAGATAACTGCTGAAGCCGGCACTTGGGCCCTCCCAAGCCGATCCGGATTCTTAAGGAAGCCCGAACCACCCTCCCGAAGACGACCCGACTACTCAGAGAAATCCTAGCCATCCTCCCGAAGACGACCCCGCTACTTGCCCAAAAAGAATTCGGACTTGCATCCGGAAGAAGGCCCAGTTTTACAGAGCGAATTTGGTGAGGTGTGTCTTGGAGGGCGTTTGGCGTAGACTGGAGGGTAGCGAGTCGGTTGGGAGTGGTGGGTTGGGTGGGGTACGGAGTGGGAGAGGGTTGGAGAGGGTTGGGAGAGGGTCGGGAGAAGGTTGGGTTGGGAGGGGTTGGGAGAGGGTTGGGAGAGGGTGGGAGAGGGTTGGGAGAGGGTTGGGAGAGGGTTGGGAAAGGGTTGGGAGAGGGGGTTGGGAGGGGGTTGGGTGGGTTGGGAGTGGGTTGGGAGGGTGGTTTGGGAGTGGGTTGGGAGAGGGTTGGAGAGGGTTGGGAGAGAGTTGGGAGAGGGGGTTGGGAGAGGGTTGGGAGAGGGTTGGGAGAGGGTTGGGAGAGGGTTGGGAAAGGGTTGGGAGAGGGGGTTGGGAGGGGGTTGGGTGGGTTGGGAGTGGGTTGGGAGGGTTGGGAGTGGGGTTGGGAGTGGGTTGGCACCCAACACCATGCTTACGAAGACGACCCAGAGAAAGCTGTGACCGAACACCACACTTACGAAGACGACCAAACAAACATGCATACCCCAACACCCTTTCTTACTAGGTGAGAACACCTACTTTGTAGACGCCAGAACAATGCGTGGATCTTTCGTGCAGTCAAGGCATGTCAAGGCCGGCGCTGCTTCACCATCGCTGTCGCTGCAATCTGCCGTCGATGCCAAAGCGACCCTAACCCCTGCGCTAGTTAGATCCTCAACTCTCGAACCCGTAGACCCCCAAACCCCAAGTAAGATCCCAGAAACCGAAGCCCTAAACCCCAAGGACCTAGATCCCTAACCTCTAAACCCTGAACCCTCTAATCCAGTTGCCTTACATATACCGAAACTCCCCCTTAAACCCGAAGCCCTGACACGAACCCTAAACCCGAACCGTTTGCCAAAATCCCCAAGCCCGAATCTCCCATTGTCGCCAGGTTTGTGTCCGGCCACCGGAGAAGGCATCGAATCTACAAGCGTGGTAGGGTTTAAGGGGGTTTGGGTTTAAGTCGGTTTAGGGTTTAGGGGTTGAGGGTTTAGGGGTTTCGGGATTAGAGTTTAGGGGGTTTGGGTTTAAGTTTTAGGAGCTCTGCCAGTGATCTACCCCACGATCGAATTTGACACGGGATAGTGGGGGGTTGAAGCCAGGAACAGCCGGGGTTTAGGGTCGAGGGTGAAGGGTTGGTCCTTGGCAACGATGCTGGCAGGACGACAGCGCAGTGTGGACCTACGCCTGCCCATCTTGTTGCACAGCTCGGAGCAAGTTGTGATATTTGATAGCTTGCTAATCTAGGGCCTAACCGTGCGCAGCATCTACATCCTACTGGTCGCATAAATCTACGACATGGAAGTCGCCAATTTAAAGCAAGGGTCATTGCTGTTGTGCTCAGATGTCGTGCCAGGTCTGCACTAGACTCAGCCATCCATCCTCGCTGCCATGCAGAGCCATGCAAGTTGTTCTGGAGGCTGGGGGTTTGGGACACCGCAGCCCACACGGTACTCAGAGAATATAAACAGACAAGATCTAAGTCCAATGAGCGTGAATGCGCAGGGGGCAAGGCAATCAAGTTGCACTCCACTTCCACTACTCTTGCAGAGACCACAACGTTCGAGCATGCCACCCACTTGTTGTACTCATGCCTCCTCTCCAGGAACTCCAAACAAGGCACTAGGCGGCTAAGTGCCGACTGCAATTGCTACACCATAAACCCTAAAGCCTTCCACTATTTGATTCTTCATAGCAGCATAGCAGTTGCAGGAGAGATGGCAAGGAGTGTCGGAGGACGACTTCGGGAAAAGAACGTTTCAGTCCCCCTGCGTCCCATGGGTCTCTTCCCTTCGAGCCCAAATGCCTAGTCCTTAACCGCATCTTAACATTCATCCTGAGCCCTGACTCCCAAACGCCAACAAATAGACCCTGATCCCCGGATCCCCCCGTCGAAAACTCCAGAGACATCACAAAGCCATACACGCTCCACCCCGGTGCCTGAATGCTGAATGTAGACCCCAAAGAGGCCAATCCCACTGGTGAGCGGCGTCCTCAGATGTCAGCTATGGACTCAGGTACCGAGTCTTAGATTGTCGGGGTTGGTTGGGTATCAACCCTAAACCCTTAACCCTTAACCCTAAACCCCTACACCCTAAACCCCTAAACCCTTTAAAAAAAAAACCTGCACCCTAAAGACCCTAAACCCTAAACCCTATCTGGCGTGATTGAGGCTCCAGGTTGCATAGGTTTCACGTCTTGGAGGTTTTGGGGTTTGGCGCCTTTTTCGTTTGGGGTATCAAGGGGGAAAAGGAGGCACCCTTAATGGGGACCCTACAATATAATGGGCTATATGATAATATAATAGCTGTATTAAGGGTATATAGGGGTTCTTATTAAGGGTCCCCCCTTTTACCCTTGGAGGGTAGGACCCTCTGGATCTGCGCATCTCTGTGTCTGTCAATGGAGATAGCGCTCTCTCGCTCTGACTGCCACCACTTGCATGCCTCTACTTTCGTCTTCACAACCGCGTCCATGCATCCCTGTATCAGGCTGTATCATTGTGTCTTCAAGATATTCTTTCTAGAGTTTGCGTATATTCGCGCATATGTCTTCGTTGGTGGGTGGGTGGGTGGGTGGGTGGGTGGGTTGGTTGGTTGGTTGGTGTATTGGTGAGTTTCTTTGCCTATCTGTCTATCCATCTTCTTACATGATATATGTTTGCATGGCGCAAACACACAGATGTAATGCTTGCACACACCGCTGACATCCGGCATCCCTTAAGAGGAAGCAGGGAAGCACAAACTGCAAGCTCGGGAAACCTTGTCCGACTCCAGTTGTGTTTATTTAGCATGGGTGATTGCCTGTAGAAATATTGTCCATGTAAAGTTTCTGAGCTGATATTTAGTGCTGCGGTGCTTCGGATCTGGATTGGGGTTTTAGGCTTTGTATTCTTCAATGGTCGAGTCCTTTGTAGTAGCGCTTCGACGGGCTGTGAGGTCTTGAGACCCAAATGTCATGCCTATTGCCGGAATCCTCACTCCTCGAACCTTGAATATGAAACTCTAACACCATAACCCTAAGGGTCCAAGTACCTATATAATAATCATATACTCTCCTAAATATTGGGCTACATAACTAGTATCCTAAACCCAAGTACCTGATTATTGGGTCCTTTGGACCCTTAGGGTAATCCTGAAGACCTTAACCCCAGTCCCCAAACCTTTCTCGAAACCCTGCGACGTTCCGGAACCCTGCGTTTGGCTCTTCGCATGTCGGGCAGCCTCTCGTAGCCTCGTCAAGCGCGGCCTTTGCTCGCCAGGCCTCGAGAGAAATCACAAGCAAAGGCCAACAAGGACAAGTAGTGAAAGCAAACAGGTTAGCAGTATTTGCAACACTCACTGCCGGACAGTCGATAAACGTCACAATGAAAACGGTCGAAATCATCATGATGTGACCGATTTGGCTGTCAGTCTCCGCGTTCACGTATGTGTGTTTTTATGTGTGTATGTAGGCAGGTAGGCACTCCCTCAGAAATGTAAGCAGTGTGGCATCGCCAGGGCAGGCGGGGGAATGTTGAGGCTTTGGGTTAAGGGTTTTTGCAGTCTAGGGCAGTCTAATGTTGAGGGGGGGGTGGCGGGCTTGGCAACTTGTAGGGTACCGGGCGCTTCGGGTTTTGAAGGTTTAGGACCTGTAGAGTTTCGGAACTAGTGGACTTGTGGCATTTTGTGTCTTCGGTTTCAGGGTCCAGGGCCTGGGGCTTGCACGCCATGCTACTATTCCCCAATGTGAGAGGCACGGAAAGACCAAACAGAAGCGGGCTACAGCTCCTGAAGCCAGAACTCCGGCCCATGACACCAGCCTTGCGCAGGTATGCCCCGGCGGTGGTAGAGCTCACATCGAAGTGAAAGCAGCACGACTGAACACTGGTGATCATGGTGATTTCCATTCCGGTTTTTGCGATTGTGAAGGTCTTGGTTGACTGACTGTGCATTATTCTTGTCCTTGTTATGCAAGCCCTTGATGCCACGGTTGTGCCTGCTGTGATCGTAATCGCGATGGGACCACTTTTATCAGGATGGCTGGGACGGCCGCGCCGACCCCGGTGATGAAGCCATCTGCGGTGTGCGTAGACAACCCCTATCCGCAGGCGGGAGCCCGGATCGACGGGCTACCAGTAGCAGACCGTAAGACAAACAGCAGCCTTGGTCCTGCAGCACTAAATGCAAGACAGAGACCAGAGATCATGTGAGAACACACCGAAGAAACAACTCAAACCTCAGCACTCGACCGCTTCAACCCATCATTTTGGTTTCGGGCTTGTGCTCTGAGACTTGTTTTTCCGGGCTACAGGCAACTGGCAGTTAGTTTGCATCTCAGTTTGGGAATCCGGTTGTGGGAGATACGTGCTCTTGACGCTGCCGGGGCCTTGATAATTAGCACAGGGTCTTGGGGCATATTACCTGAACGTATTGTGGTTTGCCGGGACTTTAGGAGGATAGCCGTCTGCCAGCATCGCGAATGGAAGGTTGTAGGAGGCTGCCATCGTGCCGTGGTTCGTCGGCTTTCTTGCAGCATGCTCTTCTTGAAGTGCCCTTTCCCTGGCAAGCGGCACTAAGCACGATGTAGAAAAACAGTTGTGGTGCTAAATGTCGGCAAGTGGTTCGGGGCTGCCTTTGCACATCGCCGGATGCCGTGCATGCAGGTCTGGGGTCCTCCGGCGCTACTTGGCTGCAACTGAACTTTGGCGATAGCAAGGGCCAGCATGAAGTGGTCAGGCAAGAACCACAGGCAGGGAGCGATCCGCATGCTTACGGACTTTTGGTCGAAGCTTAGCTTGGCAACTCTCTGGTTCCCTGTTACTGGCGGGAAGAGGAATCAACATCTGAAGTATCTCTAATTCACTATAGCAGTAGTCATGATTACGATGATGATGTTGCTGTTCCGGGTGATCTGTGTAATTCCGGCTTCACGTGCAACATTCCCACGGGCTGCACAAGCCAGACTCTGCTGCTTGTATCATGCACCAGCCATAAACTGTGTTCAATCACAACTGCATAGATGAGGTGCCAAGCATACTACCGGTTTGAGTTATCTGTTGCCTGGCTTCTACAGCAGCACGAACAGCACCGCGCTCTCGGTGTTGCAGCCCAGGACGCTGGCCACACGCCGCTCGACTGATGCAAGACCAGCGCCAATGAACTCCAACCTCTTTGCTGGTCCAGGTGGTTTAGGCTTCAGCGCTTCGGGGCCCGGGGATCTCGAAGATTGACGGTCAGGTTATAGTCCGTACCCACAGAAGCTCGAAGCGTGCTTAATTTTCGATCTTTCGGAACAGGGCGGTCGCTGAGTTGACATGCCATGTTGTAAGCTGCCAGAGGCTTGCTGGCTGTGGCAAGCTTTACGCCCGCAACGTCCTTCTGTCAGTGATTCGCAGACTGGCCTAGACCAGAGACCTGACCAAGGTTCAGACAATCTGGTCTGTTGCATGGTTGGTCTGCCGGCCAGAGGCAAGACCTTCATCGCCCGGAAGCTATGTCAGCACCTTTGGCGGAAGTTCGAGCTTCGGTACACGCCATGGGACTAATCTTTCTATCTCAGATACAGATACAGGTATAGGTTCGTAGATGGAGATTGGCACACATACGCTCTTGAAACGTGCCGAAACACAGCATGACGATACAAAAACATTGGTTAGTGAGTCAGTCGATATGTTTGGCTCTTTGCTGGTTCTGTCTTTGTCGGTCTAAATGGTACCGAAAGTTCTTTGCAACTGTGCTCTGGGCTGGAGGCCAATGACTTTCGTCCCAGCATGAACGAAGACCTCGAAGCATGCAGTCGGATCTTTGGGCATAGATGACGATGAAGCTGCTGTACGTTATTTTTGATTACATACCTCTATAGATATACATACATGTATATAGTGAATAGTGTTGCATATTTTGCCTGGCGATAGCGAGGTACATCAGACGCTCAGCTGCATGAAGACTTCGGGCTATGTTGGATCTTGTCTTGCTGCTGGATAGCTTGGACAGGTTGCGGGGTTGAAGGTTTTGGATCCAGGGTTTATAGGAGGCTGTCAGATGTTGGCTGCTGCCAGATCCTTGCAAAACCCTGCCGTGACAGCGTCGTTCTTCAGTCTCCGCTTTTCGCGGAAAGAACCGAGCTAGTGCCTGTGAAGCCCATCCTGCATGCTAGAATGCCGGAGCCACCGCCGCCGACATCAACACCACCGCCATTGCTAAGTGATACCGTTGCTACACTGTCAAAACTTGTGAGTTCACGTTGTGTGGAGATCCTATGCCCCAAAGGCTGAGCCTCTGAGCCACAACTTCAGGTTTCTTCTATGGCAGCCCCTGCAAAGTCTTCAACGTCGGAGAGTACCTGCTCAGGAAGCTTTGCTGCGCTACCTCCGGTTTGTTCAGGGTTTTAGGGTTCAGGGTTTGGGTTTAGTTGTTTGTGCCTCTTCCTCCACGTCAGCTCCTAAACAATTCAGATTGCCGCGAATGAGTTTCAAGTGGTTCGAACCATGCTGTTCTTGCCTTTTTTGTGTTGTGCGTCCACCGTCGTTAAGTCAGTTCTTCGCCGGGGGTCCAAACCCTAAACCCCGAACCAACCTTTCCGCCCTTGAAACAAGGAATATACCCCGCACTATCCAGACCACAAGGTAGCCAGGCCTTCATACTACAATGTAAGGCATGTTCCGTAATTCAGGGGTATTGCGCTCTTTTGGTACCCCTCAAACGGCAAACTCTAAACCCAACCCCAAAGGCTTGTGGATGGCAAGTTCCAGCCAGCTTCCTTCTTCGACGAGTCCAACGAAGAAGCCCGCGCACTACGCGCCTTTGTGGATGGATTTGGTGTTCAGGGCTTATATAAGGCTTGTGGTTTCGGTTAAGGGCTCATCGCGCTTGGGATTAAAGTTTGTAGGGTTTCTCGGGTTCGGGCTTTATAGGGCTTGGGTTGGTGACTGTTCCAAGCAGGGTTCCATGTGAGTGATGGAGGCTAATCTTGAATTGTCTTCATGCCCCTGGAGCTATTTACAAACCGGCCAAACAGAAAGCCTTGAACTCTAATTTACAACCCTAAACATTAAACCCTGAACCGAGATAGCCTCAAACTCCATGCCCGGCCCGAACCTTTACTCCTGATCCCTGACATCTCGACGCACTCGCTTGACCTTTTCACCCTCAGCCCAGGCTTTGGAGCTCAGGTAGGGTTGACTTAGTAGCTGAGTGGATACACTTTACACTTTTATCATTACCCACTATAAATCTGAAAGTGTACACTTTTAGGGGCTTATGGACTCAGCAACTATTGAAGTTGAGCGTCAGAACCCCCGAGCCTCAAAGCCCACCCAGAGAACAGAAACCGGAACTTTCGACGACAAGTCGTAAAGCCTCATCCCTCAAATCCCGAAACCCAGTCCCCGAAACCGTTGAGGCTGGAAGTGAGCCGGCACATAGATCCGTACAGAAATCCCAAACCCTGTAAACCCTACAGCTCTAAAGCCCTGCAGACCCTAAGCCTTAGACCACCTACCGCCCTAGAGACCCGCAAGCTTAAACTTGAAACCCTTGATCTATGAAAAGAGTCCTAAACTCTAAAAAGGGTATATCATCCCTGATGGAAACCTTGCAGCAACCCTTGGAGCCCCCCCCCCCCACCGAACATACGAAAGCCGTCGAAATCTTTCCTTGGAGGTCGCCAGGCTTCGGAGCATGCCGTGGTGGAGTCTGGGACTTTCTTTTTGTACTTTGGGCTTAGGGTTTTTATATTGTTTAGGGTTTCAGGTTTTAGGGAGCAGGGTTTAGGGGTTAGGGATTTAGGGGTAGTCTATATTAAGGTGTTGTGAGCAGCTTATACAAGCATCTTTTTGACGATATTGAAAGGAGTTTACAAGAAGTTTATTGATCCTGCAAGGGATCGAAAAGTCGATAAGGGATTTAGCCTGTAGGTTGCTGTGGCAGCAAGCACCCAGGACTTGTGCGAATGGATGAGCGGCCAAAGCCCTAAGAAAAGGAAGCTTTCCTCGTGCCCTGGCTGCTTTGATCTTACAGGGAAGGTGCGAAGGCTTAATTACAATTAAGGATTCCGCTACGTGCGGCAATTTAAGGTCTATGCTTAGGTCCGCCCTTCAGTGAAACTCAAACATGTCTTGTGGGGTTTCGGCTTTGGGCTGAGGCACCTGTAATAGCAATTTGGGCAATAGTGCTAATTAATAGTAGTAATTACAGTTCTGAGCCTGGATTAGAGATTTGGGAATTGGTGCAGTTGTGCTTCCTTATCACAGTGCAGGAGCCAGAAGAGTGGTCGTTCGACTTCTTGCTGCTGGCTTTGTACCCCAAACCCCTACACTCCCTAAACTCGTGAGCCCCTAGCCCTAAACTCTAAACCCCTGCACCCTTAAGCCCCAAACCCTTTTGGAGCTGTGTGGCTCGAACCAGGCACGACCTTGTGGAGGACAAGTGTGACGACCTCAGCTTATAGGAGTTTCGGGTTTGGATTTGAATGAGGGTTTAGGTGTTTAGGGTTTAGGGGTTCATGGCTTACGGGTTCGGGGTTTGGGGGTTTTGGAAGTTGGGATAGCCTAATACCCTAAGCCCGAAGCCGCCAGATGCTGTAGAGGCAGCAGCTATATCTCCGGGGAGTTTGGCGCCGTGGCGATCTATGATGCCACGAACTCCACAAAGGAGTGCAGGGAGCTTTCAGGGCGCATAGGTTCGGGTTTACCTTTCCTAACCCACAAATCCTTATAAACCCTAAACCATAGCACTTTAAACTTTGTACGCCCTACAGGAGCGTTTCCACTAAACCGAGCCTGCGACGAGGCCTCCGAGACGCGAAGAGATAGAGGCATAATTTATGAGTTCCCGCCGTGTTTCTCCCGCAAGGAATATGCCTGGCATTCTGGTTTCTGACCTCCTCATACTAGCCTGTAGTTGAATAGTCCCGAAGCTGTGCGGGGACAGCCAAGAAGAGCAACCAGCAACGCTGCGTTTATCAAGTCAAAGTTGTTGCTTGTAGAAGCATTGACCTGTGAGCAGTAGGATGCATACTACAAGGATACCCCTCGTTGTAAGAAGTGCCATGTACAAACACATGCAAAGACATGCCCTGCCAGCGCAAACCGCCAGACCACAGATGGATCCCGAGAAGCCATGTCTTCAACTACACATGCAAGTAACTCTCGCAGTCCATCCAATCACAGCAGCATTCATAGCTTGACTTGTCATACGCTAATCCCAAGCCCTGACACCCAAACCCCAATTCCAGCCATCAGCTGCCTCCCGGAAGGAGAGGCGGCGATGGCTCGTAGAACGTCTTCAGGACCTAGGCGCGAAGGCCCGCGACTCTGAAGCTTAGGGTTCTTGCGGTGGTTGGTCGGGGGGCGATCTCCGTGGCTCTGTCGCTTCATGTGGCCCTCGGCTCTCGGATGTCGTCGGCGACGCCGACAACAGAAAAGAGCGTGTTCAGAACCTTTAAAGCGGTCAAGAGGATGACCTGCGTCCGAGAAGAAGCATCTTCGGACCCATTAACAGAGCGCTAGCAGCGGCAACGGCACCAAGAGAAACTCCCAGCAAAACAACACATGCACGCACACACACACACACACACACACACACACACACATACACGATAGCCAGCGTCGTCGCCCTTGTAGTTGCAACTAGCCATGCTCCTCGTCATTGGTGTCACCAGCGCACCTCCATCGACGCCGCCACCATCACCACCATCATCGTCATCATCATCATCAGCAGCAGCATCGTCATAGCCATCATCGTCATCAACAGCATCGTGATCATCATCATGAGCATCATCCTCATCGTCGTCATGGACGTCACCACCATAATCATCACCATCAGTATCACCGTCATGATCACCAGGCCCATCAGTATGTTTCATCATGTTCAGTACCTTCTTCATGTATTCATCTTCGTCTGCATTTTCATCATCCCCATCGTCATCATCACCACCATCATCATCACCACTAGCATCATCGCGATGTTCATGATGAGAAGCAAGGACAATCCTCTTCAAGACTCGTCCAGGTCATCTTCCTGGAGGTTACCTGCAGCGATTCCGAGCGCATCTCCGAAAACATCCAGTCCACGCACAAGAGCCTGCAAGTGCAACAGGCCGGCAACCTAAGAACCCGAATAACTGGCAATCAATCATTATAATATCGACATATACACATGTATATATATATATATATATATATATATATATATCCCTCTCTCTCTCTCTCTCTCTCTCTCTCTCTCTCTCTCTATCTGCATATACAGATACATACGGGCACGCACACACACGCATAAATTGATAGATAACTACTAACTAGGGAATTACATGAGCAAATATATACAAGTATATATATATATATATACACACACACACATTCTCTCTCTCTCTCTCCCTCTCGGCCGTTGAGACAGTAGGGAACCTTTGTAAAGGTCCGAACCGAGTCCGGAGTGTTGGGAAACGCTTAGGGAGTTCTGTTTAGGGTTGAGGGTTGAAAGGCCGGTTTAGGGGTTGGGGGGGATCAAGGGATGTCGGGTTTTGGGTTTGGGAAGTGCTGTGATCTAGAGCACAGGCCCTAAACCAAATCCTTTTTCCTATAAGCCGTGACCATGTTTCAGGTCTTGAGCGCGGAAGAGGCAGGTGCAGACTTCATGAAGCGAATCGGCTTCTACAACGAGGTGGGGCTTGAAGATTGTTGTGTGTAGAGATGTGTAGAGTCTCCGAGGGTCTTCAAGGTTTTGGAGTTCAGGCTTAGGGTTTGGAGTTTACGGGTTTACGGTTTGAGTTTAGGACAAGATAGTTGTCAGGGTTTGAGGTTGCGTTGATATTAGGTGTCAGCAGTTTCCGAACCAAGATCCTGTTTCGAAGGTTCAGCACCCTTTCCAACAAGCAGTTTACAGTGTCCACAGTCGGGACCTCAAAAGGCACCACATTCCTGAAGGACGAGATGGGGACCTCAGAACCTTTTATGGTTCAAATTCCAAATTCATAACATGACCCTCACTTTTCAGTGCCATTTGGCCCCCAAGGCTTTAGAAGAAGCTGCAGGTGGCCTGTCAGACCTGAAGCCTCTAGATCCTTTCTTGACGTAACCGAGACAACAGCCATAAACGGCGACAAGCACTTAAGTGTTGAAAGTACGGGGCGCAGGCTTGCACTTAGGGTTTAAGGTTTGATGTACGCCGAACAGAAGCAGACCTTCGTACTTCTGCATGCTCGAAGCTTGGCCCGTGTCTCTTTCTGCCACCACGGCAGGTGTACGAGACGCTCCAGAGCTGCACTCAAGACCCCAAGAGCTGGAAACCTCTGCGAAACTCTGGCTAGGTCTGAGGTTGAGGATAGAAACCTTACTTGAGGCTTAAAAGGTAAGAGGAGTAGCATGTAGTACTCCACAACACTGGTGAACAGCAGAAAGCTCTTGAAAGCATTCTAAAAGCAGTATAGAGAGTCCAAAGACACCGTGTATAAACTACCCCACACCCTCCCAGGCTCTCGGAAACCGAATATAGCTGGATCAAATTCGTAGATGGCGGGAGAGAGCCTTGGCAGCAGCTTTTCTTTTGGGAGCAGGGTTGTGGTTTCATGGTGCTTGATAAGTTCTACAGGTTTTTTCAAGGGCTATTTTGAGCTTCGTAGGTGTTAAGTATAGACGGGTCGTATGGTGGGTTTGCGAGGCTTTAACGTCCAGAAGAGAATTATGGAGTGTTGGGGTTGAGGGTTAGGGTTTTGGGTGTGCAGGGCTTTTCTGGATTTCGGATGTTTACGTGTTTGGGGCTATGGGGTTTGAAGGTTAGAGGGGTTGGGCAGCGCTGTAGGGCATTTTGGGATTCTGAAAATCGTTTTCCGATCAGTACGACAGTCAATACGTCAAAGGCTGTTGTCTAGAGCTAGGATTGCTGTAGATCTGCTTCTGGGTTTTGGGCCGTCATGTCGATAAACGTGTGCTGCAGACTGCCAAACCTCCATTGGCCATGCTTTCAGATGTGCAATCCCAAAGCATAGCACGCAAATTTATTGAATCGCCTGCATGCAGCAACGCCGTCAGCAGCAATTCGAAGGCTAACAGAGGGTCCGCAAGCCCAATTGAAGAGCTTTCACCGAAAGCTCTACTGCCAGCTTGAAAGCTTCATGTTGCTTCGCACTCACCGATACGAAACCGTCCATACTTGGGATGGATGACAGTTGCTGACAATGGCTGCCATCAGTTGTCTCTCGTATATGAGGAGATTTCCCTCCATAATATGCGCGGCTTTTTGGCATCGCGGATTGCGCAGCTACCTGTGCAGCAAGATTTCGTTTATCTGGGATTGGGAGGGCTTTGCTTAGTTTGGGTACTTTGTGTCGCTTGGTTTAGGGTTTAGGATATGAGCAGAATAGCATCGTCGTACTTATGAATCATGCAATGTTGCTGTGCTTGCGATCTGAGGTTCCTGCTGAACCTGCACGGGCAACGAAGACCTATCTTCCTGTCCCGGCACGGCCAGTCTGAGTACAACCGACTGGGCAAGATAGGCTGCTTGGACCGATGCATGGGGCGAGGGTGGGGATGGTGACATTGACGAGGGTGAGGATGGGTATGATGGTGAGCGATAGGATGACATGTTGATACGGGTGCTGGTAATTGTTCTTTGTGAAAACAGGCTTTGGCTTTGGGTTTCCGGTTTCCCGGACATTGCAATTTGGCAGGATGGGGTCAAAGGTAGCTTTCCGGTTATGTTGTGCTCTGCATACCATGAGGCCTTTGTCACTGACAAGCGGAAAGACCGAGACTAAGAATCATGCCAGACACTGAGATGGCACTGCCAAGCTGTCTAATAAGTGGTCTCGGAAGACTAGCTGCGCATCCATGCCAGGATGCGGCTGACACCAAGCCGCTACAACAGGTTTTTGCGAAGTTTTGCCTGGAACATCTCCGAAGCCAAAGTAACTTCGAGCATGTGTCTCACTGGCCCTTAGACCCTGCAACCCTAACAAAGCCCTGAAGCCCCTGAACCCTAAAATCATTTATGTCAGACACCAGCACCAAGAAGGTGTGGGCACAGTCACTCATTTTGCAAAGACGTCTTCCCCACCTGGCCCTTATCATGTACATGAAGAACCCCTACACAGGACCTTCGCAAAAACGTCACGAGGCGCTTCTGAAGCCTTTATGAATGACAGAAATCAGAAGCATGCAGGTGGGGACTCCGTGTTGACATCGCACGGGGAGGAGAGCTCGTGAGGGCTAGGTTTGGGTTCGGGGTTTGGGATCCCCGCGAGACTTAAATTCCACACCGAAGGCCCAAAGCTTAAACCTTACACTTTGCACCCGGCAGCGATGAAGCCTCAAATGTGAAACCGACACCCTCCGATAATTCGAAAGGTAACGAGAGCAGCAATCGGAAGAAGAAACGCAGCCAGAGTGGGAGTCGGAGTAGCAGCACCGACAGCAATAGCAGCAGCAGTAGCTGTAGCCGTAGCAGTTGCAGTAGCAGAAGTAAGGAGTCGTGATATGGAGTAACATGGCGGTAGTAGTTGACATCATCGTCATTGTCTTCGGCGTGGTGGTAGCATTGGTGTACTGTAACTATTTCTCTATATACATCTACGTCCATGTTTTTTGGGGTCTATACTGGGACCTTATGTATCGCTATTCATCTCTTTAAACCTTTACATTAAGTTGACTCCAGTGATGCTGGGCACTGCGCAGGAGTACGCCACCGCCCTTGCCGACTGGGTGGACAAAGAGGCCAGAGTCGTTAAAGTTTCAGTGTGTCGACCTTGCAGTGTTTTGGGACTTCATGTGCATGACGTTGCTGCATTTCGGATGCAAGTGGCTTGGGACTTATTGGTGTAAAGATGATGCGGCTGCCGGGCTCGGCAATCAGCCGGACGGAAGGTACAGATAGATGCACCAATCCTAAACCCTTAAATTCCGAAATTCTCAACTGGCCTTAAACCCTGAACCTCAGGGCCCTAAACTCTAAAACTTTGAAGCCCTAAAGTCTAAAAGCCTTTGAATTGAAGATAGACACCCTAAACCCTACACCCTCAAACCTTACACCCTTAAGCCCGAAGCCGTTAAGCCCATAAGACCTAAACCTGAAACCCAAAGCCCTGTAAGCCCCAGAGGTGAAGATAGATGCTACCGGAAAGCCCCGGCCTGCGCGGCTCTGGACTTCGTCGCTGAAGCGCACGAGGCTCACAGCCAGACATATCCGCGGCCTGCCTGCGAAGGTTTTTTGGGTTCCAGGATCTATGGTTTTAGTGTTTAGGACTCTTGGGTTTCGGGGGTTTGGTATAGGGGCTTCAGACTTAGAGTGCTTACTGTGAAGGCCCGGGGGGGGGGGGGGGTTTCCGACTTTAGGAGCATCTAGAGAGTCCAAGTAAGGAGTTCTCTGACTACTGGCTTTGATAAGGGTTGGGTGTTGGGTTTACGGCCGTTAATTAAGGTTTGTGCTGCGAATGATAAGGTCCGGGACATGACAATTGCATCAGGTTGAGAAGCACAAGAAGGTCCAGTCATAGCAGTGCGGCAAATTTCGGGTCTTGGCCGTAAGTCCATTGAGTGGGAGTCCACTGGTGCACCTCACGGTCATGTAGGCACATTTCGGGACGGAAAGCGCTCTTTCAGGTCGTACCCTGAACCCTAAACTCTTCATGCACTCGTGGAATGGTAGCTCCTACAGTGACAGCAGGTCTATCTTGTCTTGGCAGCAGCAGCTTCGGTCTTTCAACCCCGATGTCGCTGCAAAACTCCATAAGCCTAAACCCAGCCCCTCTGCTGGCAAAAATAGTTGTTTGCAGGTCTATGCTAGCGGTCCCTTACTCAAACCGGAAGAAAGAACAGCAAACTGGCTTAGGATCCATGTTAGCTTCCCTTGTTTTCTGAAAATCCCATATAGCGGATTTGAGGACACGACAGTCTGACGTTGCCGTCTGGCACGCAGTGGGCTCCTTGCATGGACGTGGAGTCGAAATCTTCGTATTAGCACGGCTGGACTGGGAACTGACATTATGATCAAAACACGGATATTCACTAGTCATGCTAGTTAACAGTATTACGAACCTTGATAGCACTTGTAGTAGCAATTGGCAACGACGAGATCGAAAGCAATGGCATTAACAGAAACGATACCAATAACCACCGTAGTCATCACTACACAGTTGAATACTGGTGTTTGAATAACGAAAGATGAGCAGTACAAATGTCAAAAATCAACAATATCAATAGCAAGATACGAGCAGTGTTAATATGTACGATGAAAAACTAGCAAGGTCAATGCTACTAGTGATCTCATGGGTTTTTTCTACGAGGAAAAGCATGGCAACATGTATTTTGGTGGCAGCATCTGGACATTGCAGACGCCAAGGTGAGGGTTTAGTATTTAGGGATTCGAGTGTGATGTGGGGTTTGAGGTTTCAGATTCCGCTTGGCAGAGAAGCTTCATCAAATGTGGAGACAGGTCCCCCAGTGATCCCGGGCACAAGGGCGCAAGGGCACAAGGGCACAAGGGCACGGCAAGGGCACGGCAAGGGCACGGCAAGGGCACCACAAGGGCACCACAAGGGCACGGCAAGGGCACAAGGGCACAAGGGCACAAGGGCACAAGGGCACAAGGGCACAAGGGCACAAGGGCACAAGGGCACAAGGGCACAGGGGCACAGGGGCACAAGGGCACAAGGGCACAAGGGCATGAGGGCATACCGGCACGAGGGCACAAGAGCAAAGGGGCACAAGAGCGCGACAGCACATATACGTACATATATATACATATATACATATATACATATATACATATATACATATATACATATATACATATATACATATATACATATATACATATATACATATACACATACATACGTATATATATATATATATATATATATATATATATACGTATGTACATATATACATATATACGTATATACGTATATACATATATACATATATACATATATACATATATACATATATACATATATACGTATATACGTATATACATATATATATATACATATACATATACATATACATCTACATCTACATATACATATACATCTACCTCTACGTCTACATATACATATACATATACATCTACATCTACATCCACATCTACACCTACATCTACATCTACCTCTACCTCTACATCTACATCTACATCTACATCTACATCTACATCTACATATACATCTACATCTACATCTACATCTACATCTACATATACATATACATATACATATACATATACATATACACATACACATACACATACACATATACATATACATATACATATGCATATACATACACATAGACATATACATCTACATCTACATCTACATCTACATATACATATACATATACATATACATATGCATATACACATACATATACATAAACACATACATATACATAAACATATACACAATCATCCTGGACAGCTAAGCGAACTCGTTCGCTTAGTTTTGTGAACGCCGTGTCGTCGCATCTTCGCTGGTTGGCGCTTTGCTCCTGCAAGGCCACATTGATGCTTGTTCCTTTTGCGAGAAATGTTATATTCTTCTTGTGTCGAAATAAAGCGGAAAATGAAGGGCTTCCTTGTTCCAGATCCACACAATAGCTTAGCATCTTGAAACTTTCACAGCGTCATTGCAGACTCGGCCTTCGACTTTCGAAGCTTGCTGCTGGGGGCTACAAGTATACATTGACTCTTTGTTTTACTAGGGTTCCCACAATTAGAAGTCTTTTTCCAGCATCTGTTCTTCAGGGGTCTTAGGGCTTAGAAGGCTGCTGGAAGTACTTTGATAATACTCCAAAGCTTCCTCGGGGCTACAAGTATAGCTTCAGACATTCGTTTTGCAAAGGGGTCTCAAAGCAACATGTATCTTTCCAGCATTTGTTCTTCAAAAGTTTTAGGGTTTAGAAGGCTGTTTGCAATACTCTGATAGAATCTCCTCTTGTCATCATAACCTAGACAGGCAGGATTTGAAGCTGAATTTACTTAGTGCACCATCGCATTCACAAGAACCCGGAACTGAATTTGCTTAATGCACCACTCAGGTAACCATTCTTAGAAGCCGGATTTGTTTAATGCACTAGAAAGAAAGAGCTCATAAGGACGAAAACTACGTGACTCGAACCTGAATTTGCTTAATGTGGAAAGCATTGAATACGCTTGTTCATCTTTTCAGGCAACAGCCACGTGCTACCGCGTGAGACAATCATCAGGCGACTATGCATCAGGTTGGGAAGCCAAAAACTCTTTTCTCAGTCGTTCCCAAACAGATTTACTTATTCCCCATTTAGACGAGGCCTGGTTGCGTGAAGGAAAAGGTCCCTTCTTCGATGACAAAAATCTCTTCAAGGCTTTGATCTTGGTTTCGACTTGGCGTTGATTGGAACCGTGTCCTGCTGACTTCTTTCCTCCAATACGTCCCGCTTCAGCGCGTGCCTTTTTGAGGGTCTTCTTGTTGATAGGAAAGGATCCTCGAGAGTTTGAGGAGAGATGATCGTTCTTGCGGGCAATAGAACGCACGGCTCTGTTGGAGATGCCTTTCATAAGTTTGTGGGCAGCGTTGTAGCCACTTTGCCCTCCAGCCTTGGATACAATCTGTAGATTCGACTTAACCTTCGGATTCTGCGCTAATAGGGCAGGGTGCAGGTAGAAGCACAGGCCTGGGAAGTGCGACATAGTCGCTGCAACAGCGTTATCGTTTTGATAACCTTTGTCCATAAGGTCAAGTGCATGTTCTAGCAGCTCGTCACTCTTCTCGGCATGCCGCCAAAGTACTGCATGGGACTGCATGACATACCCCGCTTTGTTGATACCAGAAATATCTGTTGGGGCGTTCTTGCCCCCATAGCCAAAGACTGGAGTGCCACCGAGCAATAAGCAGACCCATTGAGGATGTTCCCCTGTAAGCTTGTCCACGAACGATTCGAGTGCGGGAAGGAACCCTGCGGACCTCCAGCTCACGTTAGGTACAATAAGATCATCTTCGCATACCAAAACAAACTTTTCATTGCAAAGATCGCGGCGAACCATACGCAACACTGATTGATGGGACTTCATGCATCCGTATTGCGCCCACACATTTGTGCCTCCTTTGGAGGCAAGGCCAGACACCCGAAGTCGATCAGTTGTGCGTTTTGTTTCAGATGCTATGGTCTGGTCGTATGATATTCGCCAAACTTTCTTTTGTCTCATCAATCTCCCACCTGCCTTAAAAAGCTGTTGCCCATCGATGGCTGGAAACACAGCAATGCGTGAGAATCCACAGCTCTCAAGCAACTGAACAGTGGTTTCTCGTCGCTGATTCTGTCGTTCCAGGTTGATCACATAAACCAGAACATTTGCTAGCAGTTGGGCGATTGTCTTCATGGCTCGCACACAACAAATTTACCCGACCGTTTATCTGTGTCTGGCAGCCTATAACCCGTGGGGACAGCCTACAATCTACGGGCATCAGCATATAACAACAGCGAACGGCTAATGTGACGTGGAGTGGGTAGATATGTCGTTGAACAACTGAAAACCTGACGGCTGAAGAGCCTAGAAGGCCTAGGACAAGAAAGCTGTAGCCAGGAATCCCCCGAATCATATGTTAGTGATTGTCTGAGCCTCTGTATAATACCGATCGTTACACGAGCAGGTCGTTCTAAGGAACTTACAGTCACATTTTCTAGGACTACCTTGCATGCGAAATTTCTGCTGCCATCGTGTAACGATTCAGAGTTTATAGGGCTTATTCTCAACGCTTGATCAACAAGGAAGCGACTGTCCTCAGGCAGAAGAGGTCGCAGTAGTCCCGCCGGCGGCTGTTTCCGCTTCTCGAATGGAAACCTTTGCGTTTCCAAGACAAAAGTAAACGAGATCGAGGTTTAGATTTCAGATTCAGGGTTTCGGGTTTAAGAGTTACAGTCTCAGGTTTAAAGCTTCGGGCTTAGGATTGAGGGGTCTAAGATTTCAGGTTCAGTGTGTAGAAAGTAAAGTTTCGTGTTTAAGGGTCAGTACCTAGGGATTACAGATTCAGACGCTTCTACAGAACGTAAGCCCACAACGAAAAAAAAAGGTAACGATCGCCTACTAGGAAACCTGGGGAAATAGGCTCTGAATTGAGAACTTGAGAATTAATTAGGATAGAGTTGTGATGTTTCTTTTTTTTTCCGGATTGTTGTCCGTTGCATTATACCCAGTTCTCATACATAACCCACAAGATAGTACATAGCCCCTAAGATAGTATAAGATCGTATTGGTAATTGTTTAGGCTAATATATTTACACCTGCTGCCCGAATGGTCTGCTAAGGACCGCTTGCCAGGCTCTCTCTAAGGCAAAGTCGTTGATGAAATATCTGTGCGTTACCTGCCGACTGCTTGCTTGCAGGCTTAGGGTTTAAAAGCGCTAGGGGTTTATAGAGTTAAGGGTTGTGCGTGCAGGGTTAAGGGTTACATTTTAAGGATTTGGGATGGAACACCTAGAGCTTTTGATATGTCTCTATACTCCTACGAAAAAAAAAACTCCATGGATCTCAAGAACTGCCAAGGATGCAACCTGAGGGCGATGCGGGTTACACTATGTAAACGGTCACGTCCAAACCTTATAAACCCCAAACCCTATAATTATAAATGCCTCACCACACCCTGACCCATAGTCTCTAAACTCTAAACCGACAGCTGGAGGACACTGATCATCAGTGGTATATGCTCCAAAGCGGCGGCGGCAAAAAAAAAAGCCCCTGCGAGCTGAGTCTAAGCAGTTTCGGGGAACAAAACTTTCGGGGTTAAGCTTACGGTTTAGGGCTCTTTGCAGGTGGAGCCTTTCGGCTCAGAATCGCTTCTTGGCTGACATTTGTTGGCTGGTCTAGGGTTTAAGGTTTAGCATGTAAGGTTTAGGGTTTAAGGTTTTGGTTTTGTTTTTTGTTTCAGTATAGGTCATTGTTAT